GATCTCATGGCTTGCAGGGCAGATGCGAGCAGTTCCTGCTTCAAAACAGCGGGAGCCGCTGGCCCTTGCCTTGCAAACCGCGATCTCATGGCTTGCAGGGCAAGTGCAGCAGTTGCCTCATCTCGTTGCTTGCAAGACAGGGGAAAGCAGCGCCAGCTCTTTTGAAGTGGGGGCCGCTTGTGCTTGCTCTGCAAGCTGCGATCTCATGACAAAGGTTTGCAGGGCAGGCACAAGCTGTCCAGCTTTCCCTCCCGGCATGCCCCCCAAATCCCCTCGCTGGGGGAAAAATAGGACCTGGAAACCCTAGTGGGGTGGGAAAGTTGTGGGGCGCTGTTTCGTCCCCAGGGATCTCCACTCGGCCACAGCTTTGTTTTGTATCCAGCTGTGTTCTCTCGTCTTGGCTAGTTTGTGACAGCTGGACAGGTTTTTCTGTAATTCTGCTGGAGCAGCTGTTGTGATGCCATAATGTTCCCCAGTGAATTGGCAAATGCACAGTAGCCTCTTTGCCTTTGGAGTAACCTGGATATACCTTTCTCCCTACGTACACACTTGCAGCTATGCTTACTCTTCTAAGTTGTGTGGAGGATGCCTTTCCTTTACACTAGGGATGAGAGATGGCATTGACAGCAGACTTTGAAATTCAACCCTGCTAGGCTGTACGCAATGGCTGCTGTTAGGACCCCCCTCTCAGGATGCTTTTTCTTAATATTTGCATGGCGTGCCTTGTCATTTGCAGTGTGTGCTGTGATTTTATTTTTGCTGAATTTGGTTGGGTGGCTAGTATGTGTGGGAATTTCTCATCTTGTGTCTCACCATGCACGTGGCGCCGCGAGGCGTCAAAAGCAGGGCCACGCTCCAGCGCAGGAGAGGTTTGCAATCCCTCCCCCGCAGCGTTTGTGGGAAGGAAGCCTCCTGGTTCCTTTGGCGAGCCGGCTCGCTTCACTTGCCTGCATGTCCCGGCTGAACGATGAGGGCTACAGCCGGCTTGGCGTTGAGAGAGCAGCCCGGAGAAGAGCAACACACTCGGGCTGGGGAGAGGCCGGCAGCCTGGTAACTCCGCCTCGCCGGCTGCGTTGATGAAATGGGATCCGGTAGGATCGCCGTCGTGCTGCCCCTTCGCAGCTGCCGAGTGCTCAGGGGGAGGGGTTGAGGCTACCGGCTTGGAGATCTTAATTTTTTTGCAGGGCTTCCCCCCCCCCATATATGCAAACTCGCAAGCAGCCTTGGATGATGGGCTGGTTTCAAAAGCTACCTGGGGGGGTGTCACAATAACGCCATCGTATGGCGACCCCCTTGGGATTTTCAAGGCAAGTGACGTTCAGACTTTGTAGGGGTGCCAGCCTCCAGGTGGGGCCTGGAGTTCCCCCCCAGAATTGCAGCTCATCTCCAGAGTAGAGAGATCTGTTCCCTTGGAGAAAACTGTTGCTTTGAAGGGTGGACTCATTGGCCTTGTACCTCACTGAGGTTCCTGTCCGCCCCAGGTGCTCCCCTCTGATGCTTTGAAGAACCCTTTAAATCTTGTAGGAGGGGAGGGAGAGGGGTGTGTGCGTGGTCAAAAGAGCCAGTTTGGTGTAGTGGTTAAGTGCGCCCGGGGATTCTAATCCGGGAGAACCGGGTTTGATTCCCCACTCCTCCACTTGCACCTGCTGGATGACCTTGGGCAAACCTTAGTTCTGGCACAGCTGTTCTTGAAAAAAGAGCAGTTTTTGACAGAGCTCTCTCAGCCCCACCGGCCTCACAGGGTGTCTGTTGTGGGGAGGGGAAGGGAAAGGAGTTTGTAAGCCGCTCTGAGACTCCTCTGGGTAGTTAAGGGTAGCGTGCCACCTGTCCAGGTTGTCCAGAGGTCCCCATCAGCTCAAGAACTGCAGATCTTGGAAGCTAAGCAGGGTTGACTCTGCAAGTATTTAGATGGGAGACCTCCTCTCATGTTCTTATGTCTGGGGCAGTGATGCTCTGCATTCTTGGTGCTTGGGGGGCAAGAGTGGGAGGGCTCCTGGAGTTCTGGCCCTGCAGGTGGACCTTCTGATGGCCCCTGAGCAGGTGGTACTGGGCAGATGAATAGGGCTGGATCCTTTCATGGTATCACTCTCCTCCAGCACAGTAGGCCTTTCCTTGATGCAAGGGGTGTTAACTATCATGCTTGTACCAAGCTCACAGAAATGATGCTTGGGCCCTGTGTGTGTATTGGAGAGGGGCTGTGGCTCAGTGACAGAGCATCTGCTTGGCATGCAGAAGGTCCCAGGTTCAATCCCTGGCATCTCCGGGTAAAAGGACCAACAGAGAAGGTTGACTTGCTATCCTGCCCCTGCTGGAGTCTCACTTTATTCTTTATGTCCTCAGTATCTGGTCCTGATCCTGATTGTCTACTGTTTGAATGGGCATCTTGCATCACAGCCTACACTTACCGTGGCACTAAACAGTAAATGGCAGTCAACTATAACAGGGAGGAAGGCTGCCAGTCAAACAGAAAAGGAACACTAAATCGCCTCAGCCATCAATGCCAAGGAGAATAAAAATATTTTGACCTGGTATCCTGGTATCCTTCCTCTTTACCTGAGGAGCCTTTTGCTTACTGCTGGGAGCCTTTTGCTTATTTTCCCCCATGTGTGCCATCAGATAGGCTCACCAGCTCTGAGTTGGGAATACCTTGGAGATTTTTGGGGTGGAGCCTGAGTGGTGGGTGTTGCCTTCTGACACAATTCCGGTGATGTCAGGGGGTGTGGCCTTATGACACACTTCTGGTGATATCAGGGGGTGTGGCATATGCTAATGAGCTATGCTAATGAGTTCCCCTAGCTCTTTTTCTACGAAATGACCCCTGATCAGTGCTCCATGGTTCCTCAATAAGACACAGAAGCCAGGGATGGAGCCTAAGAAAGTCCTATTTTTACTTCTAATTCCAGTATCTCAAAAATACGAAACAACCACTTCCATGCGGTGTCTGGCCTCCTTAGTGCAGGTCTGCCTACTTCAGCCCCAACCTTAGTGGGCTACTTGTTTCAGCACCCGGCCCAGAACTTCAGCCCTTCTGGGGTGTAAAGCATCCTCTCCTGCCACTCAAGGATGAATCTTTCCCTTACATCCTTCCTCGGGCTGAGCATGTGGGCCTCCTTCCCTACCCACCTCTGCTTGTGTTTGTTTTCTAGCAGCAAACACCTAGGGTGGAACTTGAACCCACGTCACCAGTTTCCTATTTTTATTGCCTTTGCCCATTGAACGGATGGGCTGCTCACAGCATTGACCAGTGTGAGCTTGCTATGCTAGCCAACACTTGTCCTTGTGCGTGTACCCCGTCCCCTTTCCCTGCAAAATTAGTCCCCCTCAAGCAACGCTAGCATTCCATATGGTATGTTTATTTTATACATTTAATATTTGCTTGTGGTTTACGGTTTCTGACAAATTCAGTTTGATTACTGTATTAGATTGCTGGCTTTTGCTGTGAATAAACAGTTCCATGCCACACTTGAAAGTAAATGCAGTTAATTTGGTCCAATAGTAAATGCAATGGAAAGGGTTCCAACCCCTGGCAAGTTTAGCTGTAACCTCAGGAAGCCTTAAGTGCGGCATGAAGATCTAAGCCAGGGGTCCCCAACCCTTTTGAGCCTGGGGGCACCTTTGTAATTCTGACACACCAGGGTGGGCACAGCCACAAAATGGCCACCACAGGAGGCAAAGCCAGCCACGAAATGATTGCTACAGCATAACTTCAGTCACATGGTAAAGATTTTTGTGCTGTGGTGGCAGCTGCTGCCAACAAAACATTTTAATAAATCTACACAGCCTATGAAATCTTGCTGGACAAAAGCCCCACTTGGCCCTGCCCACTTTCTAAAAATACTTGGTATGCACCAGAAAAGACATTGGTAGGCACCATGTTGACCCCTGATCTAGGCACGTTTATGAGTACGTACTGTAGCCGTGGCGTACACAATGAAACCTTCAAAGCATTAGGGCAGAAAAGACATTGGTAGGCACCATGTTGGAGACCCCTGATCTAGGCACATTTATGAGTATGTACTGCAGTTGTGGCGTACACAATGCAACCTTCAAAGCATTAGCGTATATATTTGCTTCATGTAGCACCACACTTACTAAACATTAATTGGTTTTTATTACAGGGCACATGGAGAGTAAATTGAAGAATGTTTGGTTGCTTTAGAACACAGTATAGCCCTTTGTTGTTGTTCAGTCACACAGTCGAATCTGACTCTTCGTGACTCCATGGACCAGATCACACCAGGCCTTCCGGTCTTCCGCCATCCTCTGAAGTTTGCTCAACTTCATGTTCGTTGCATCTATGACACTGTCTAACCATCTCATCCTTTGCCATCCCCGTCTTCTTTGACCTTCAATCTTTCCCAGCATCAGGGTCTTCTCCAGTGAGTGCTCCCTTCTCATTTGGTGGCCAAAGTATTTGAGCTTCAGTTTAAATCTCTTCTTCTACAACTGAGATGTTTTATAATATGCTGCTGTTAATACAAACATATGCTTTTTATTGCTAAGTGATCGTTTATGATGTTTTTGATCACTTTTATTAGTACGATGGGCGATGGCAATTGTGAACTGCTCAGGAGTCCTTTGATGGAAAGTTTTTGATTACTAATATATTAAATGTTTATTCTGTTCTAGGATAATGATCTGTTTAAAGATGAACCAAAGATACTGCACTTTGCGATGACATCAATAAAATCACAACGACCTTTAAAATAAACAGCACTTATTTCTGTCTTATGCCACTTTCTGCATTATGGTATGTGCCTAAGGGGTTGTTTGCATTGCGTCGCAATTCTATAAATCTAGTCCTTTTGTATTGTTAGGTTGCCTTATGCCGCCTGATTGATTAAAAATATATTAATCCGCCTTGAATCTCAGCGGGAAAGGCAGGCTATAAATAAAGTAAATGAACAGATAAATAAAATGTGCACGCTTCACATCTCCATAATAAACCAAACGCGCCCTTTCCCTGCTCTACGCGTGCACCAGTGGTTCGTCTGGTGAGCATGCGCATAGCCGGGCGTGACCCTTCGCTGAGGCCTAGGGGAGGAACACGCGTGCGCGCACCTTTGCGCTTGCGTAGTGGGCGGTAACCTGTGCCCACCGGCGCGGTCCGTTTGCCGTTGCTGTGGCAGCCGGAGCCTTCCGAGGCCTGGCTGGGAGACTTTCGGGCGGGACGGAGGCCTCAAGCGGTACCAGCGGCAGCTCCGCCGCTTTCTCCTCCCCTTCCCCATCCCCGCCGCAGCCGCTCACGCTGCGAGCCCGCGGGCGGCGAGAGCGCAGGCAGCGCAGGCCTGGAGGACCTGGACGACGAGGACGAGAGCGGCGCCCAGTCCGGCGGCGGCGGCGGCGGCTGCAAGAGCTGCACCTACCAAGGCTGCCAGGAGACCACCACGCAGGTGGCCAAGCAGCGCAAGCCCTGGATGTGCAAGAGGCACCGCAACAAGATGTACAAGGACAAGTACAAGCGCAAGAAGAGCGACCAGGCCCTCGGGGGCGGAGGAGGCGGAGGACCCGCCGCGGGGGCGGCGGCAGCGGCGGCTGCAGGAGCAGCAACAACACAGGGGGGAGGAGGGGGAGGAGGAGCCGCCCCCGCGGCCCCGGGAGGAGCAGCAACAAAACAGGGGGGAGGAGGAGGAGGAGGAGCCGCCCCCGCGGCCCCGGGCGGCAGCGGGAGAGTTGAGGTGAGGCGGGGCAGGGGCCGGCAACACGCCGCGTTGATGGGTTCAACTCCCCGGGCCTGCCGTTCGCGCGCGATACGGCCAGAATACGGCTTGTCGCTGTCTGATGGGGCGCTGGAGAGATGACGCTTGGCCCAGTGCTGAAGTTGCTGCTCTGCGGAAGTGGCAGGCTCGTAGGATCCCATATAAAAATAAAACAGCCTCATAAGTCAACTCTCAAATCGTGCTTTACCTCAAGGACTACACTTTCTAAGTTTTGGGGGAAAATATAAAGCGATTCATGGGCTCCTGATCTCTGGAGCGCTGCTCTCCAGCCTGCCCCCCCCCCCATCTGTCATGTGCAAGGCAAAACAGTTTCTCTACTAGAGACACTCTTGTCTCACATTGTGGCATTGGTATGGCTGATTCTCTGTCCTATATTTGAGGATATTTCCATTCCATTCACATCAACATGCATAGTTCTGTTGAAAGTTAGATGTAGGGAACGCACTTAATTCTGCAGAAGGTTACATTCTTTTAGAATGTGGCTGTTGGCTGCATTGTCTCACAGCCACTCTGAGGAAACTGGTACTATGCAGTAGGCTGCGGTAACACGTGCTATTAATGGAATAGCAATGCCAATCCACTTTGCTGCACTCATGCAATACTCTAGGCCATCTTGAAGAAACCACAGGTCCTGACATGCCTCCATTCTAGACCTGCTTCACCCTTCTTTTCGTAACTATAACTGCTGTGCATTAACATTGGTATCAACTATGCTAGACATAAATTGTGATGAGGACATGACACTTTCAGGCACATGTAATGAACATTGTATTGTCCCACACTGGAACCATGCTAAAGATGTATAAGGAAGCACCCCTTAATCTGAGCATTTTTTGTTTTTCTAGTGGCTTCTAGGATTACATTATAATCAAATAGACCAGATGAATTCAATTTAGTTCCATGTGTGGTCTGCTTCTGATTTCCATTGCCGTGACCTTTGCTAAAGTAGTCCCATGTCTGATCCTTTTGCATGAAGGGCAATACAGGGTTTGATTTGTGAAACTATGTACTAGAGACAAACCAACACAGAGAACTCTGTTGAAGTGGTCAAGTAGGAGCAGATGTTTCAATTTGCTTGAGCCTGATCTTTGCTGCAGTATACATAATATGCAATATTTATAGAAAAGCATTGTTGTTATTGTTCAGTCGCACAGTTGAGTCCGACTCTTCACGACCCCATGGACCACATCACGCCAGGCCGTCCTGGCTTCTGTCATCCTCTGGAATTTGCTTAATTTCATGTTTGTTGCATCGATAACACTGTCTAACCACCTCATCCTTTGCCGTCCCCTTCTTCTTTGACCGTCAGTCTTTCCCAGCATCAGGGTCTTCTCCAGTGAGTGCTCCTTTCTCATTTGGGGGCCAAAGTATTTCAGCTTCAGTATCTGGCCTCCCAGGGAACAGTCAGGGTTGATTTCTTTTAGGATTGACTGATATGATCTCCTTGCAGTCCAAGGGACTCTGAAGAGTCTTCTCCAGCACCATGATTCGAAAGCATCTATTATTCAGCGCTTGGCCTTCCTTATCATCCAACTCTCACAGTCATACATTACTAAGAAGTGTACATACATGATGCATATTATATGCATACATGATGCATATTAATCTATATGTAACTATAAGGGACTCTGAAGAGTCTTCTCCAGCACCATGATTCAAAAGCATCTATTATTCAGCGCTTGGCCTTCCTTATCATCCAACTCTCACAGTCATACATTACTAAGAAGTGTACATACATGATGCATATTATATGCATTCATGATGCATATTAAACTATATGTAACTATAGAACGAAGTTTGAGTCCAGTGGCACACCTTTAAGACCAGCAAAGTTCAATTCTGAGTATAAGCTTTTGTATGCATGTTGTATTTCATCTCGACACATTTATGGTACAAATTTAAACTCATTTGTAACTGCTATGAAACCAGGTGAGCTATCACAGCTTCCACCAAGGAACTGTTACAAACCTTTCTGAGGCTGCTGAAGTTGTCAGATTTGAGTTAAAGATCCTGAACTTTGCCATAGAATGTATTCAGTATTTATTGTGGGGGGGGGTGGGGTTAGTTAAAAATGTTGAAAACCAGTTTAAATCTTACAGTTGTAGGCATGGCCTTATTTATTACATAGTAGGATTATGAGCATCATGAAATGTAGCACTGCAACAATGATGTTTGTATTATTTCCCTCACCTGTTGGTAGAAAAATCAGTAATAGTGAATCATAATAATCTTACAATGCCATGATAATGGAGTTACACCCTTTTAAGCCCATTGAAGTCAGTCAGCTTAAAAGGGTGAAACTCCTTAGGATCACACTGTTAATTTGCTAGAATTTGTCAGGAAGAGACTGATGTCTTCAGGTAGGGTTTTCTTCTTAATGTGCTTTTAATGACAGAGGAATAAATTTTTATTTTTTCTTTATTTTGTACTCAGGATTGCACTGAAAATACAGGTTCAGCATCAAAGCAAAGAACAGGTTCCATTGGCGATCGCCCAGCAAAGCCTACGCTTTTGGAGCAAGTGTTGAACCACAAAAGACTGGTAAATACTACAAACTTAGCAAGAAAAACTCAAGCTTCAAAAAGGGTCCTAAGCAGCTCACTTTTAAAAAAACATTTTTTTAGGTTTTATATGTCAAAATTGGAATATGTTATTTCTTTATATGCTTTAAATATCAGGAAATCAGCAGGCCCAACTAGTGTCTTAATTTGCTTTATGATGCATGTTTTCCATTCAGGCTTCCAAAATTTAAAGTTTTAAAATTAACAAAAAAATGCAGAGTTTAACTATCTAACATCTAACTTTTTTACCTTCAAAAAGAGAAGCCACGCATATGCTATAAAATATTTCTGTGCAGTGGTATAGCTACATTACCAAAAGTCAAAATGAAGTAAATGAGTGTAGAGCTTAGTCCAGTTCCAGAATTCCAGAAATTTTGAAGCTCTTGGGGACCCCATTTTTTTGGGAAAGAAATGGAAATTTGGGGGAAAGTGGTATATGATATCAAACTTAAAGCTATTCATCTCTTTCTAGTCACTTCTTAGAAGTCCGGAAGTTGTCCATTTTTTACAAAAACGACAGCAGCTGTTAAGTCAACAAGCTCTGGAGCAAAGGCAACAACAGTTCTCTGGAGCACCAGTGTGATAGTGGAGGATCTTTGAACATGAGGATCTTATAGGAAAATAATTTCACCGTTTTAACTGTTGTATGAGAACATTAACAGAATACTGAACTGCTGTCATTGTGGAGTGTGATTTTACTTGCTACTTAAATTGTTCCAGGTTTGCTGACTTGTCTGTTTGCCCTTTGTGTTTCAGCAATGGTGTTTGGTTTGTATTTATTTTAAATTTGTATTAGCTTTTATGGATTCTTCCTTCACAGAAATCTTCCATTAATTTTTTGGAAGCTGTTCTGAGAAGGAGGCACATAAATTAATAGACCAAATAAAAAATAATTGCTTAAATGTTTTGCTATGTGAAAGGCTTAATATCTTGCATAAGATGATTCTTTAATGGCAATCATTGAAGAAAGCAATACTTACTTTCTGTGGAAGTTGTAAAAGGTAAACTTTGAGCCAATCCGGTAGCATATATTGCTCAGGGATGCACTTAGGGGCAGTGCTGGGCTCACAAGTTTATGGGGAAAGCTCAGCAAGTTCTGGCCTACTTCTCCAGTGCTGGTGATTTGTCCCTCTGGTCAAACTAGTTGATCGTCATCTTATTACATTAATTTACAATGTATCCCATGTTGGTATTAATTTTGTATACATTTTGTAAACATGGTTTTCAAGAATTAGTATGGTTATTTCAGTATATTACTGGCATAGATCATTAAAAGGCATTCATTTGAGCCTATTTATATTAATTTTATATTTTAATAAGACTTATTTGTACCAGTGAACAAAAAATGTTTAAGGATGTATTAAAAGTGTCATTTTTGTATTTTTGTAATTTTCAGGCTATTTCTGAACATGTTTAGAATTTTTTTAGTCTTTTTGGATAATAGGTATGCCATCTAAGAATTTTTGTAATCAGATTTTTAAGAAAAACATTTCTGTTGAATATGTTGGGCAGGATCCTACCAGGTTTTATGCTACCACAGGAGGAGTAGGAAACAATCTTGCCCTTCCTCACTGCAGCTTTGATCATGTGGTGTTTTGTCCACTTGGGTCACATAATGCCCAGAATAGTTTTAGGAGTCAAAATTGGGCCCTTCACCTTCTGTACCAGTAAGTTGCCTGGTAGGAGCCAACCCATTGTACATACATTGGTGTCATTCTGCCATAGTATTAACCTGACTAGTTGCAGATACCAGAAATCATCCCTGTTGTATTTCTAGCATGCTTTTTCTAGAGAAAGTAACTGTATGCTATGTCGAGATGCAAATAGTACATACATTTAAAATGACCAAGGTGCTTACCGGTTCTTACTGTTTGATTGGATAACAACCTGGGTAACGTTTTTCGAATTCCACCTGAAAGATGTATTTAATGCAGATTATGTTAGCAGTAACCTTCTGTTTTTCTGCTTGCTGTATTTATTCTGTAGTGGAGCACTTCATTGGCTGTGGTCTGCTGTGCAGTAAGGGATGGGTGAAATGTTCTAGCATTTTATTGCTACTAATTGGGTCCTGTTCTTTTCCAGTAGCACTTAAGAATGTCTACTGATCAAAAATAGCAGTTCTCACTCTTTAATAATTTCATAAAAGATTTTATAGCATTTCCTGCATTGAGAGTAGTTAGCTGGTCACACATCTCCTATGGTCTACTGTTTGTGAAAAGTGTAATGGAAGCTATTTCATACTAACTGTGCCCAAGTATAGATGAAAGAGATTTTTGTGAAGGAGGAACCTGGGAACACATACAAAATTTAGAGAACAGCTTCATCTGGACAAATAAGAAAATCATGAGATCCCTTTCAGAGTTCACTTGGAAACAGGAAGTATGTTATGGTAACTTTTCAGTAGTTTTTAAATGATGAGTTTAGAGTAGAATTAACATAGATACCTTTTACAAATGTAACTGCACATCCCTTAATAGTGTGCACTCCAGTGAGTGTGTTCCTGTTTTACGCAGACACACCTCCATAAATTTCTAAAGGTAGAAGTAGACCCAGGTGCCAAGGAATTGAAATCCTTTATATGCGGGAAGTTCCATGAGCCCATCTGTGTCTCCAAGGAATTGAAATCCTTTATATGCGGGGAAGTTCCATGAGCCCATCTGTGTCTGTAAAAATTATGCTGGAACAAGACAATGGTTGCCACCATTATCGAAGTTGAAATGAGAACAAGGAATGTTTTACAAATAGATGTTGCAAACCTTGTTTTTAAGGACTGTTTCTCATGATATGGCTGCTGTGAGGGCTATGTTCCTTGATGTGTCATGGAAGCAAACTAAGTGGTATGGGGTATTCCACATGGTAAGGGGGATTTACGCAGTCTTTACAGATGGATGTGGCACAAGGATAGCTCTAAAGTACATTCTAATTAGATTCTCTTGGCCTGTCCAAATTGTTTGTAGCTTTTTATCTGTAGTGTTCTCTGCAGTTCTCTTTTTGAAGTGCTTGTCCTTAACAGAAGTACCCACATTTTTGGTTTGTGTGTAGTAACTGATGTGGTCTAAAAAATCACATCCTGCTTAAGCTTAAAGTGGACTAGAAGCTATAGAAATAGCTGTAAAAATGTTTTTATCCATTTAATGTCCAGTGTAGGAAAAAACCATTGGATCAAGACTGAGGGAAATAAAATCAAAACTAGAACAAAATCAACAGCTGAATCAGGCTTTTTAAAAACAACAAAACTTCGTTGTTCAGATGAATAACACTTTATTTTGTTGCTTGCCTATTAGAATGGAAATAGTGTTGATCTGGTCTGAAATTCATTGCTTGTATTAAAAGACCCCATAAGAAAACTTCAGTTTGAATTTTTGTGCATTATTTGACCTGGCAGTTTCAAGATATTTTCACTGTATTGTAGTAAATCCATTATAAATGACTCATACAACTTGAAATTTATCTTACTGTAAGCAGTATAGAAATGCTAAACTCTCATGTATTGTATGTGCACACAACTGGTTACTTGTGTCCGTGAATAACATCAGACGCCTATATTCTTCTGTAATTGTTTTGTATCGCACTCAAGCAATATTACCAGGCATTATCAGCTGCTTCAGCCGTGAAACAGGCTGAAAGTTGATCTTGGGAGCAATCCTGAGGTAAGCAGTGAGCAAGCAAAAGCAGCTTGTCACTCTAGCTCAAAAGATCCCCACCTTTCCGGTACACAGGGGCTGCATTAGAGTGCCTAATGCCTAAAGTGGGCCACATCTTAAATCAAAATGTAACAAAATTATTAATCTACCTACTTCTAAATCAAAATGTAACAAAATTATTAATCTCTACCTACTTAGATCAAAAGTAAACATTCAAAGATCAATAAATGTTAACTTGAACGCATCCATTTTGGAACAATATTTTACTGTGAAATCCTTTTATCTAGCTACCCATGCTTATCTAGTCATTGTGATTTTGGGGGGTTGTTTTCTTTGTAAATGTCTCTGAGATAATCATTGGCTTGCAAATCAGTTCCATCTGAAAAAAGTTACTTGCATCTTCTGGTGCTACTTCAAATGGATTATGAAACATTCTTATTTCCTTTCTGTGCTTATGGCAACCAGTGAATCTGTTCTGGAATTCCACCTGCAGTAGGTTCAGTGTTTTGATGTGTCTTTCAGAGACTGACTTGTAAATTCCTGGCCTTCTCAAATTTTAGTGGATTGCAACATGAGAAATTTGAAAAGTTACCATCTCTAACTTGCTTCACAAAAAATGTTTTGTTTTGCTTCAAAAGAATATATCACACACAAGCTTTCCTTTCCCCTGCAACCTTAGATCCAGTGTGTTCAGATGCTCTGTGATATCAGTTAAGAAAGCCAAATAAAAAATCCATCCAGGATCGAGAAAGTACTACTTGACCTTTTCGTTTTTCCTTTAGAAAGGCATCAACTTCACGATGGAGACTGAAAAAAGTTTGAGGACTTTGCCTCTGCTAAGCCACCTGACTTCTGTGTGGTACAATACATCTCCATATTCTGCATCTATCTCTGAGAGAAAATTTTGAAACTGATGATGAGTAAGGCCATGATGCCTGATGTAATTAATGCTGGATACAACAATACACATCACACTTTTCCACTGAAGAATCTTACTACACAAGGTTTGCTGATGGATGATGCAGTGAAATTGCATGGGAAGTGTACCATTTAATTTCAGTATCTCTTCATTGATTCATGCAATGACACCTGATTTACTTCCCACCATATTTCTTGGACCATCAGTTGGGATGCTTTTCAGTTTATCCCAACTCAGACCAAGATTTTCTACTGATTTACACACCTTGAAGAATATTTTCTGCAGTTGTAGTGCAGCGCATACAACTCTTCTGTAATTCTGAAGTTGGAATCTATCCCTCTGATAAAAATTATTCGTTGAGCAGTGTCTTTAATGTCATTGCTCTAATGCCAAGGGGGGGGGGATTGCCTTGACAATCTGATATATATGTCGCTCTTCTCGTTCTTCAACATGCCTGGTGATTACAGATGCAAATAAACTGACACAACACAATTTACCTTATCAGGGCACATTTCCTCCATTACTTTAACCATGCACCTTTTAACAAATTCACCATCAGTGAATGGTCTACCACTTTCAGCAGTACAGTTAGCAACATAATAGCTCGCCCTCACAGTAGACAGGTTCTCTTCAGTGAACAGGGTGCTGTGAAAAGCATTAGGATTCTAGGAAAGAAAGTAGTAATACTTCTAGAGGACATATTAGAGACCAGTCAGAGTCAAATCCTAATATTGTCAAAGTATTATAAGAGTGTGAGAGAAAGAAGCTGACAGAAACCTGAGTTAAAAAAGATTTAACTCAGCAAATATATTAAACCTAAGGACAAAATACATTCTGAAGAGTAATAGATCCAGAGGAGTTAGCCGTGTTAGACTGTTGCTGCAAAATAAAAAAAACCCAGTAGCGCCTTTAAGACCAAAGTTTGTTAGTCTTAAAGGTGCTATTGGGCTTTTTACTATTCTGAAGAGAGAGGATTTGAATGAGAGGAGTGATTGAGATGAGAAAGAGT